TTTATTCTGTCTGAGCAAAGCTGTTTGTTTTGCTGGGAAGCATAAGTTGACTTTGGTTATGTCATCACTATAATTTGCATTTAGGTGGAAGGGTAGGACATATTAGCTCTATTTTTATTATTAAATCAGTAAAGGTAAAAGTACTAATAATTAAATACAGATCTCTGATTGCAGGTTGGAACAGCAAAATCGATTGTCTCTTCATCAATAAGACAAGTGTTGAGTAGCTTGCTATTGATTAGTATGTTTATTTATGCAGATCTTTAGGTATTTTCTTACATATTTCAGGTTCTTTGTCTGCTAATTATTTTACCAGATTGGTTTGAAAGAAAGAGCTTAGACTGGGAAACACACTTGACAGATCCATTCTTAGCTAACCTGATAGTGGATTATTGCAATCCAATAAGTTTAACAAATTACTTATACGTGCTTGCCTTTCGAGCAATTAGGAAACCGTTTCAGATTAAAACCCCTTGTTGCATTCGGGGTCGGTTCATTTAAATAAAGGGGCATTATGTTTAGATATTTTCCAAATGAAAAATGGGTTTCTGGATCCGCAGAGGCTGAACAGGATTTGGTGTGTGCTTCGCCTTCCGGGCCCTTGGCTTCCGCTGTACGTGTAAAACACCTTACCAGCAACAGAGTGGGCCCTGGGGTTTCCTCATAGATGAGACGTAACCTCCATAGATGGAGGTAATCTGAATATCGAAACCAGGAATCAATATATTAAACGGAAAAAACCTACCAACCAAAACAAAACAGAGAGATTGGCATCCAAATATCAGAGTGCTCAAAGCAGGTGATATTTTGAGTTGGTTTTGTGCTTAGTGATTTAATCGATCCAAAAGGAATTGTCCCAGACTCTGCTAAACGGCCTGGTTCCCAGCCATATCCCCTCCAAGGACCCCAGAAGGCTGACTTTTTTTTTTTTTTTAACACTTTTTTCGACCGGACACTCTCATTTTCTTTCGCAGTCGTTTCAGAGAGGGCTCTGCTTTATCAGTATTTCCCCCCCCTCCGCTTCGACAACGCTGACAGAGGCGGCTCGGCAGAAGGGAGCGAGCTCGGGACCAGAGAAAACTGGCGGTGGACGGCATGAGAGCCAGCCAGGTGCAGGGAGGGAAGGTCCCCTCCCCACAGCCCACGCCGACCGCGGTTCCCCACGGGGTGCAGCCCCCGCCGCCCTGCCCACCGCTTGCCCGGGGAGCGGCTCGCGGGAGCCTGAGCCACGGGGTGGGAAGCGGGAACAGGACTCGCGCGCGGTGCTGAGCAAGTACTGAGCCCTTCTTCCGTTCTTTTCCTCGTCTTTTGCTTGAGGCAAGTTTTGTCGGGGAGGGGGGAGGATTTTTCCCTCCCTTCTTTTACCTCCAGGAACTGCTGCTTTACAACCTGTAGAGATAAGACGGCATCGCATCAGATGATCAGAGAGATAAGTAATCTTTCCCCTCGGCCAGTGGTATAGCTGACCGTATGCTCTTGAATCTTAGAGCGCTAAGTCTTTCCTGTGAATGAACGAGAAAACACTCGACAGGTCGTGAATAATCGTTTTAATGAGTGTGTAAAAGCGTGCGACGGGGTGCACGGAGCTGTCGGGTTAAACAAACAACTTGTACCCTGACGAAATCCGATTGTTAAAGTGCAAAGTGGTGTCAGTCCAATTTCCATCCCAGTTCTAAAAACCACAGATCTAAGTCGCGGGAGTCCAATTTTCCCCATTAAGAAAAATAACAATATTTTCTGAACGTAAGTGCGATCATCCCTAATGTTAGCCTCTGGCGAAAAAAGACCAGTTGCATGTCCCAGAGGTATGGAAGTTATTTTTATTATTTTTAAAGACAATAGTTAGAAACTGTGTATCTGACTTTTTCTGACTTTCCCCGAGATATCAGATCAATGCAGCAAATATTTTCCTATTTTGTTAGTTCATCGCCCTCCTCTCCGTATGTGTGTGTGGGGTTGTGGTTTTGTGGTTTTCTTTTTTTGTTTGTTTTGTTTGTTTTGTTTTTGTTTTTGATTTTGATTTTGTTTTTGTTCTTGTGTGTGTGTGTTTTTTTTTTCCACAGATCACTGGAGGCAAACATCGAATTAATTGGATCTCAATGACTGAGGTTGGTATCTTTGTATTGAACTAAGGTTATCTTTGTCAGAGTGTTCTGGTATTTACAAGACATTTGAGGAGTTTCTAGTAAAGGTAAATCCAGAAAACATAAATGATAAAATTAAAAAGAGTTGAAATATTATATACTCCAAATCCAAGTTATATTACTCTTATGTAGGAAGATAACACTCTGTGGGTCTGTAATAATTTATCCAGAAACCATAAATTCAGAAGAAAGATTAAAAAATTTGAAGGATTTTTTTTTTAATTTTTAAAAACTTGATATCAGAATAGCTAGGTCTGTTTCCTGTACAGCTAGAGGGCCTTGCACTATTTTGAAAATGCAAACTCCACTCTTTTAAGTCCATTGATTATTTTTTTAAAGTTAGTAATGACGCATATTCCTAATGTTTATTGTTGCTAAAGACTTTCATACCGACTATACGTCTGCCTCTTTCTATGAAGATTCATTTCAGATGTCCTCCCTTTCTTTGAAAATGCCCGTTAGAGCAAAGTGAGGTGAGGCAAGGCAACCGCAGCTGTAAAACGTTTTCTAAAGTTTCTCCATTCTTCTGATTAATACTCGATTTTTCAAAAATAATATGATACTGGAAAATTAATACGAGATGTATTAGCAGGGTATAGTTGCAATGGGGACCTAATGCAGTGATACGAATGTGAAATTTACTTTTGATAGTTGTGGACTTCGAATCCGACCATTGATGAACCGGATAGGAGTGTCCATATGGCTTTGGTCTGAAGCCGATCTCCAGGGTTTGTAGCATTTGGATTAAAACATTGAATTTTTTTTTTTCCAATCAAGACAATTTTGTGTTGTGCTTTAGATGTAGACATTGAGAATGAATATCAACTATTTTTGTGTTCCCAAAGAGTGGCAGAATCACTCTGTAAACCTTCCTCCGTGATAGAAAGGAAAGAGAGAGAGAAGAAATGAGAGGGAGAGAATGAAGGAGGGGAAAAAAAAAGATAACTCACCTCCGTGGGATTTGGTAGCAGATCTATAACTAATGACCCTTGCGATCATATAACAGTATTTAACAAACATCTGACGAATGTTCTGGACATTTTCAAACATGGCTTTGTTCAGACTATGTGACTTGAAACACATCGTTTCCCGGACCAGTCTGAACGCTGGAGATCGTCAAAACCGAAATATTCCCAGTGTTTTCCTTAACCCCCTGCGTGAGAGAAAAAGGGACGTAGCTCAGGCCCACGGAGGAAAGAGAGAGGAGAATGAAAGATAAAGCACAAAGACAGAGTACAATAGGACAGAGTCTCTGCATCTTGGGAGCTAGGAAACATTTCTCATCCCAGTGAAAGACTAATGCTCTCCTCCTGCAACTGTAATTTCCTTTGCAATAAAAAAGTGCATTAAATGGGCACGGTGGATAGTAAGGATCTATCAGTTTCCTGCTGCAGTTCTGCTAATAAATAAAATTCTAAATGTTTAAAACACTCTATCTGTCACATTCACAGGATAGGTACTGTAAATTCCTGTTGAAAATATACAAACAGAGATCCAAGAGGTTGTCTCTGTTTTTGTATCTCTCTCACACAAGAAATGGACTATCAAAACATTAATTATATTTGAAAGGGAACAGATTATTTGTTTGAGAAAGAATTACATTATTGAATTTATATTCCACACAGACCTCTCCTCCTGTCTACTGAGAGGGTTGAACTGTAAATCTGTCTCAAATTATTTGCCCCTAAAATGTAGGTAGGTGTGTCACATTAGAGTAGTAGAGAGATGGCAGATAATCTGTAGGTGCTTTTAGACACCTCTGTGGGATGGGTCGTTAGGGAATGTCGAAATGAACAAGAAACTGAAATCTAACATGTGAAGAACATAGACGCTTATTCTTTGACAATGAAAATACAAACACACGCAGACACACAGAGCTGAGTCTAGTTATTAAACACGGGAGTTTGGCCCTGCATCTCCTTTTTTGTTTGTTTGCTTGGGGTTGAGTGTTGTTGGTTTTTTGTTTGTTGGGGTTTTTTTTTGTGTGGGTTTTTTTTGTTTGGTTTTTGTTTTTGGTTTTGGTTTTGGTTTTTTTTTTTTGTAACGTTTTCATGTACATCTTGCAGTAGCCGATAATTGAAAAGCTGCTAACCACTTAAATCATAAGCCATGTCTTAAAGATTGTACCTTCTTTCCTGCTTTTAGAAACACTAATAAAAGAATTTAATAGATGTCCTCATACCTTTACCTTTCTTCTGAGGAAAATGGTGATCTAGTGGGGCTTTATTTTAAGAGCTCTTAAAAAACCACTCCTCGTTGTCTCCTTTTTTCCACTCTCTGCTAACCAGACGTTCAGCATTTCTTAACCTTCCTTCAGATGCCATTATCTATCTCAGCAGCATCCTTCTCCAGCACTGCAAATATTTTGGCGGGGACTGATGTGAACAGCCCCATCAGAAAGATGCCTGGTGCTGTCGTGCCATGCTTGGGGAAATTCGTCACTTGCGACCCGGGGAAGCTGTGTTAGCACCGGGTCCTGCAGCGGTGGGCCCCTTTTCTCTGTTCCTGTATTTCTTGAGTCCTGGGAAACCCAAGCCATGGGGCCTGAAGGGCGGTCGCAGGGACCACAGAGAGGTGGGGGTGGGCGGACTTTTCTGCCTGTGGCTGTGCCTGGGATGTGCTCTCTCCCTGATTAGGTATCTGCGGAGGAAGAAGGTGACGTGACGAGGAAAGCCTGACAGCCAAAGCGGGAATTGTCCGGGAGAAGGATCCGTGATGAATGAGGTCTGCGAAGTCTTGATGCAAAAGCAGAACAGGACAGTGTGTTGGCAAACCCAAATACCGGTTTTTGTTCTCTGGAACTGAAAAAGAAAAATGGGGTGGTGAAGGTAGGGTGGGGGAGGGGGGACCCCGGGGAGTGGGGCAATGGGGATTGGGAGGGAGAGATCGGAGAAGTGGCTGTCTGGAGTGTTAACACGAGTCCATCGTGTCCTCGGGAGAAGGAGAGGCTGCGTTGTCAAACGAGCCCTGACGAGAGGCAGAGGCGCCATCACAGCGCTCTGAGATGCTGCCGTGAAATCTGGATCCCGGCTGACTCAGGGATCTGAAGGACAGTACTTTATAAAATCTCCCGGGCAGGTGTCCGAGGTTAAGTCAGGCTCTTCGATAATCGCCAAACAATCATAGGGAAAAAAATCTACCCTGGGGCAGGAGATAGGATGGGGGAGGAGGGTGCGCAGTGGGAGAGACAGGACGACACGGACTAAAACCTGCTAAAAAGGCAAACATTTCATTTCTTGGGTGACTTCGTGCAGATCTGGGGCTTATTCCTCGAACTTGGCGTGACGAACCTGTAACTTCTTTCAATGTTTTTGACCGTGCACTGTATTGCCATAATGCCAATAAACGCTTTAAACGCGTCTTACTAGCGACCATCCAGCCATTCAGGCCCTGCCTTAACGAGTTCTGACCTGGCCCTGGACAGCTGGGTCACTCCCTAGCTTCAGGTGCTCTTGGTACTGTGGGAAAATGTGACTGGATGGGCCGGGTCTGTTGCACCGACTTCTGGGTTTTCTTTCGTCTTGGCTTGCAAGTGGTCGCAGAGGCAAAGGCTCGCTTTTCATGTCAGCGGGTTCAGGATTTCAGGACTTTGAGTTAAGCGACCAAAGAAAACCCTGCCTGATTTTTCCCTACTTAGTGTCTGCCTAAGAGGACAAGGACTACCAGCTCTCCCAGGGACGAATTTCCTGGTGTGTAGTATAGCCCATATCCCTCACCCTTTCAGCAAATGCCAGCAGATGGATGCAGTTAAACCTCGGCGGTGCTCCATGACCAGACACCCATCCAGGGTGCAAAAGGGTTGGCCATTATGCGGTGCCTATGGACTGGTGTTTATCCCCGACAGCTGTAACAGGGAGAAGGAATGGAACAGGAGTGCTCACAACTTCCCCGTCCCACGGCACGCGGGGGAGCACGGCAGGACCCCCACGGCTCAGGGGAGAAAAAGCCAGGAAAAAAAAAAAAAAAAAGAGAGAGAGAAAACTCTACACACATCTTGGGAGCAATCAAATATCTATGCAATGTTATTAAAAATTATAAAATCCCAGGAAAACAACGGCTCTCTTTTATAAAGGAAATCTGAGGAGCGCAGCGAGCTAAGTGAAAGCTCTGTTTTCAAGCGAAGGCAGGATTAGTTCCCTGCACATAATAGCCTGTGTGTAGGAATTGCAAATGAACATCACCAGCAGTTCTGGAGTTACTCTTCTTAAATTAATATTGAGTTGGGTTCTCTGCACAATGTGCAAAATATCAGACATTTCTGAGCTTTCGAGGGGAACGAGGATTGAAATTAACCTGTACATATATTTTCCCCTAGTTTAATACGAGAAACTCTTATCCTGGTGTAGCCAGTAAGCAGTGGAGGAATTTGGGGTAACGCCCCCAGGACCTGTTTTGCGGGTTAAAAAATACATCAACAAATCAGCACCAAAATCCCGAAACGGGCCCGACACCCGCACAGACGGGGTAAGCACGATTCCGGCTCAGCGGCGGGGGGCTCCGCTGCCTGAGACGGCCCCTCCACGGGGAGGCTCCGCGCCGGCAGCGCGGACGGGCCCCCGGCGCAGCGTTCGCCCTCCGCGGTGCTCACTCCCGCTGAGCGGAGCCTCCGCGGCCGCACGACGCGGACCGCGCTGGCCCAGTGTGCCATCGCGAACCCATATACACCGGCTGAACGGATTCTTCCATCCCGCCATCAGGGAAGGGGAAGGTAATACATCTGATATCTCGCCGTAAAGAGGGGAGAGAGAATGCTGTGAGTTCCAGGGCTCTTTCAGACACTTCAGAAATTAATGGGGGAGGGGAAGGAGCTAGGAAGGATAGATGCATTTTAAACGGTAAAATAAAAACATGATGTGAAGATATATTTACTGTCAGCTCAGAGCCAAAACATTTATGCTCCCACGCCTTTTTTTTTTTTTTTAGCAAATCGGAACTTAAGTGATGCATTTTAATTATTTTAGGAAAATAAGCAAGAAGGCTCTTTTTCAGAGTCTAAATAAATAGCAGAGTGTTCTGTGCTGATGGCTCGTGATGGCCTCATCTATCCAGTCACTACTGTGAGCTCTGAAAACCTGGGAAGAATGGGGTGTTACTGTCAGTTTCTGAAAGGAACTGTCCATTATTTGTAGGGTTTTCTGAAACAGAAAATGCAAAGAATTTTCTGACAGTCTGAGAGGTTAAAAAAGGGTCCAATATTTTCCTAAGGCTTCAGCTTGGAACGATGGGTGCCTAAATCTCAGTATTGTTTGAAGCCTCATGTGAGGAGTGATTTTCCTTATGTTTCAAATAGTTATTTCAACTCCTTGAAAATAATGGGGAAAAGATACATGTTACCCTAAGAGAGAAGGGGCTGGATGCCTTGCAGTCTCTGAGATAAGCTTGGTGATTTCTTTTTCTACCCACTCCCCTGCCCACCCTCCACCCCCTCTCCACCCCGACTTTGATCTAAACCCTGACAACTTTCTTCCTGCATACAATGTGTCCCTAATCCTCAACAGATTGTGCAGACCTTCCTCAAGGAGAGTGACACTCAGAAGAGCCACTTTTTAATTTGGGGAGAGGGGAGGAGTATAATACCGCCTTCACTTAGAAGTAAAACATATTTGAGTGCAACCAGAAAAAAACTCCAAACCCAATTCCAACCGCCCCCCCAAATCACAAAAAAACACGTAGACCAAACCAAGCCCAAACCAAACCAAAGTCAAAAGCAAGTAGGAACACAGCAGGAGAGAGTCTCTTTAACTTCACATTTAAAGAAAATCATGAATCAGTGTATAACAATAGTAGGGAGCACTAAACCAAACACACCAGCAACAGAAAACACTAGTCATAATCAAAAAATCAAATCAGTGATGCATTGCAGTTCTCTGTTTGTAGAAAGGCCTAAAACATGTATGGCCAGCAGGGCTCATTCCATAGCTTTCTCTCCAAACAGGATATCCTTCCTCTACACCAACTCCTATTTTGTATAGAGTAAATCCTGTCACTCAAACACGTCAACCAATTCCCATAAGCTTAAATTAACTCAGGAAAAGTGCAGATTACCCATAGGCAAACTCTTCTCTTTCTCTTTGTAGTGTGTTTGTACTGCATTTTCAAGATTCACCAATGGAAAGCCCAGAGTTGTTGTTTTGGAGGCTGTGCCAACAGTCTGAGTGGTGCAGAAATGGCAAAAAAAGGTAGAGAAAGCAAGAAAAGTGGTTGGTTCCTGATTCAACAGAACAGCAGCATCAACAACCGCAACATTAGGCAATATCGAGAAAAAAAAGAAGGAAGAGAAAAGAAAGCCTAACAGAAGTGAAGGCAAGTGAGTAGAAATGTTTTGCAGAATAGGATGGTACTATTATTTCCAGTCTACATGATTTCTACCCCAAAGATGGAGCGGGCCACAGCTTGTAGGACCCAGACAGGGGACAACAGAAAGTAGTGCAGGTCTATGGGTGTCTGAACACTGTGTCTGTTTTGCAGCATATGAAGCCACATTTTTCAATGTCTCTTCTGACACATGCCCCTACAAGAAAAGCAGAAAAGTGCTTGCTGCCTTGTTTTCATGTAGATCCTAAAGATATCCAAGCTTTTCTTGTACAACTCCACCATGGTCCCTATTGAAATTGTGAAATAGTGTTGGTTTAGAGGAAAAACCTTGGGCATCAGGACCTGTGTGAACAGGTGTGTGCAAGAAGTGTGTGTGGGAAGGAAGTGACCTTGCTGCCTTACCACCTCCAAAGAACCACCTTACCTTCTCTTCCTACAACACAACAGAGTTCCCAACATTTCCATTTTCACTCCTGTTCTATCAGAGTTCGTTGAATCTTTGCCCTCTTGCCTGATGGCCCTGGATTATCACTGGAAGAAATAGACTAACACTAAAAAGCTGTTAAATAAGGTTTAAATGTTCTTGAAATGTTCCTTATTGATGGATTAATGGAAACTCATAGAAAAGATTCTTAAGATTCTTCAAGTAAATGCTGGAGGCCCTATGAATCTAATCATTTGATGTCAAGTCTGCAACAAACTCCTAGAGAATATGTAATATGAGGAACATCCTTTCGTTGGCAGGGAATAGATGACCTAATAACATATTTCCTCTGTGAATTTTTAGAATTTATTTCACAAAAATATATACCAAGATATATACCATCTCGGTATGCTTATTTAAAAAATAAATTATTTCAGATTTTGGGAGGAACCATACTTATCTGAAGTTGAAAAATAAGCAGCAAAGAACAATGTTGAGAAAACTGATTTACAGTGTTATCATTATACTTCAGAAATAATGCTACTGTCAAGAAATGGAGTTTTTTGGTCTTCTTTTAGGGCTATTGGTTAGGAATGACTTTAAAGCTTCCTTCTGACCTCTAGAATTCATTCACTGCTATTTAAAAGTCTACTTGAAGTTTGGAGGAGCTAAAAATCTCACAAATAATTAATTAATTGGCAATGAACCAGTAGGAACTGTATAAACTTCTAAAGTCATGTGACAAAAGATCTATTCCATTTCTCTTTAAGATGTTGATCTACTATTAAAATAGCATGAAAAACACTGCTCCCTTTGCTGATATCTATCTTCATGAAATAAGCTCAAGTCTGGATGTATGTACTTGGTTTTTCCTTATTAGGGACAGAAGCTTTTTGCCAAACGCATTATTTGTTTTGTTTATTTGCTCATTGATAACCATAAGTTTTTTAGGGCAGTTTTTGCAAGATACTTGAACTCAGCAGTCAGTAGAAATTTCAGATGTTCTCTGCATAGATTATATGCCCAGTGGGAACTGGTTTTATATACTGAATGAGTACACTTGGATTACCTGGCAGAGAATTTAGAGACTGTTCTGTATAACTGTGCATTTTTTCTGTAAGTAGGACCACCCTCCATGCCATGTAGGATCTTGAGTTTTGCATGAGCTTTGTGCAACAGGAAGTCTTACATAAAAACCAAAGACATTCATGTACACAGACAGAAGAAGAAAACCTGCTCCTCATGTGTGGCAGTCCTCTAAGTGACATACTTTTGAGGATGAGAAAGATGATAATGGTTTATTCCTCTGCACTGAAACAATGCTAGTGCTATCAGCATGTGGGTTGCATGCAAAGCCTGATGTCAGGCTCTGTTTTGTTTTTCTGCTTTGCTACTGTCAAGTACGTTCCTCGGCTCAGTAACTGAATTTGAGGAAGCAGCCATGTTGAGATAGGTTCTCTTAGCACATGGGCCTGAATTAGCTTCCAGAGGAGATATTTCAGAAGTCATATGTCAGCCTAGAGTTTCCAGTGCTGAGCTTTACCAGTTCTTCTCTTTATTAAGACATGAGTAGTAAAGGACAATTGAAATACTGAAAGTCCAGAATACTGCAGAATACTGCAACCTAGAAAGCCAACCATGTTCTGGGTTGCTTCAAAAAAATGGTCAGCAGGTTGAGGGAAGTGACTCTGCCCCTCTATTCTGCAGCACTGTACCCATCTCTGGGGTCCCCAGCACACGAAGGACATTGACTTGCTGGAGTGAGTCCAGAGCAGGGACATCAAGGTGATTAGAGGGATGGAGCACATCTTCCATGAGGAAGGACTAAGAGAATTTGGTTTGTTCAGCCTGGAAAAGAGAAGGCTTCACGGTGACCTCATTGTAGCCTTCCAGTAGATGAAGGGAACCTAGAAGAAAGACAGAGAGGGACTTTTTACAAGGGCATGTAGTGACAGGGCAAGAGGGAATGGATTCAAACTAAAAGAGAATAGAATTTTATATAAGACATAAGGAAGAAATTCTCTACTGTGCAGGTATAGGCACTGGCACAGGTTGTCCAGAGAAGCTGAGGACGCCCCATTCCTGAAAGTGTTCAAGACCAGGCTGGATGGAGGTCTGAGTAGCCTGGGATAGTGGAAGGTGTCCCTTTCCATGGCAGGGGAGTTTGAAACTAGATGATTTTTAAGGTCCCTTCCAACCCAAACCATTCTATGAGTCTATGAAGTCCTAAAAAATTTTCTGTTGCAATGAATTATTGTAAAAAGTAGAGTATATCCTAAAGACAAGGAAACAAGAGGGGAATTCACCATCGCTGATCTTGAAAATAGGGACCAGAGACCATGACACAGTATCTGTCCTTCAGTGAGGAGTCTCCAGATGCACAGGAGGCAGCATTTGCTTTTAGTTCAGATTTTCATGTTTCACGTGGTAAGTTCACATGCTGAACCTCTCTTCTGGATCTGTAAGTATCTAATATACTTACCTGCAATTCATCCGTGAGTGCTCAAACTGAACTAACATTTGTCACTCCAATTTCAAACTCCACTTGTGGGCTGAAGGTTCACACTTAAAAGTGGAAAACCAAAGGCCCGATATATCATTCTAACAGTTATTTTAAAGTATGCAGAATATTACTGGCCAAATGGACAAAAAAGAGGCTCTGCTCAGGACTTGTATAAAGGTGTCTTGGATGGTCTGCTTTAGGTTGCTACATATTTTAAAGCCTGAACTAAGAGAAAAATCATTCAATGTAATAAAAAGTGCTTTGAAATTTGCTAGGCAACTTCTAGAAAGCTTGCTTTTTAAGAAGTCCATTTGTTTGTTTAATTTCAGGAAAAAGGTTGCAGGTTGTTATATAAGTTGCACAAACTGAAAGATAAATGCATAAAGGAAATGTAATAGACATTTCAACATTTTCTTTGCTTTCTATGTTTTGCAACTAAAACACCTTTAATTGTCTCATGGAGTTTCATCAAGTATTCAACAAATGTTATTTATGTATAAAACTTCAACAGATTATTGACTACGCAGGAACCAAAGGAAAAAAATTAAACAGGTTTGTCATATGGTATGTGTTTATCTTAACCTTTCTTCTTCAAAAATCTTATCTACTAAGTACTTTTATCAGACACTAATTATACTCCCTCTGAAAAGAATTTCTCCAACACCCTTCAGTGCCTACACCCTTTAATCATATCTCATTACATCTACCTAATCCATCTCTTTTTTGCATTGCCAGGGCTCATTAATAGTTTTAAAAGTCAGTCCTGGATATTATCTTTCCTTTCTATAGAAATATAAATATTGTTTTATTTCTAGATTTCATAGGCATTTGTAATTAGATCAAAAATTGTTTGGCAATATTGAGATTTCATCTAAAAATAGCTTTAAAATGTGTAATAGAACAGCAGTAGAATGTTATAAATCTTTTCACAAAAGGCTGTTTTTATAAGCTATTTTAACAGTGCATCAATGATCACTTGGAGAGGAAGCAATCCTTGACTAAAATTTACCAGATATTGTGCTTCACCAGTATTTTCTAGATGATACATATATCGCCTTGTAAACAGTGTTGGTAATCCAAAGAATCTCTACATGATTATGAAAGAAAGGAAAAAAAAAAGAAATGATGAGGCCAACAAATGGCCGTTTATTCTTATGTTGTGTGCATACCTTACTTCAGTGTGAAAAGCTTATAGAAAATGCCTCTAGTATAGTATCAACTAAAGTCAACTGATGTTACAGAATGGATAATTGGTGTCAAATTTTGCTTTTTCTCCCCCTGTTCTCCAATTGTCTGCAAACAGGCTACAAAATTCTCTACTACTGTTACACTTCAAAATTATTTGTAAATCACTTCAGTGGACAATCCTCAACCTATAGACTCTCCTGTTTGTTGTGAATTTTGGCAACTTGTATTCCACATTGTGTTAATTAATTAAGATATGTAAATTGATTTACACTCCTGTTTTCTGTTTTCGGGATGAATATGTCTACATTATGCTAACTTGCCTCAGCTGAAAAACTGAGTAGAGACACAAAATTGTGTTGTACCGGTTTATTTTCAAAAGTCTTAACATGTCATGATCATGGTTTTGAAGTAAAACCAGTTGCCAAATTTCAACTGGGAAGACCGTTTGTCCCCAGATCTGAACAGAGGAAAAACTAAGAGGTTTTTTTTCTTTCATTTTGTAATGAATAATATTGTGTTCTATGGATTATCTGGCAGTTTATTTAACATATTGCATTTATTACTTCAGGAACCTGTGACATTTGTTCTCAGCCTCTGACTATAAATCCTAAATGAAGTTAATCCTATGATTTGGGGAAGCTTTTTTTCTTTTTTTTTTTTTTAAAGACCCATGGACACAGTTTGACCATACATCAGCTCACACGCTAATTCCTTCGGGGTAGGAAGAGCAGGGCAACTTGGTAGAAGTCAGTATAAATGTGAAATTAAAATTTATTTGCAGGCAATATAACTGATACTTCATATACATGCAGTCAAAATAACTGATGTTATTCAAAAAGCAACTGAGCATAACCCTTGGTGTCACCTGTGTATATGG